GCCTGCCTGCCTGCCTGTCTGCCTGCCTGCCTGCCTGCCTGCCTGCCTGCCTGCCTGCCTGCCTGCTTGCTTGTCTGCCTGCCTTTCTTCCTGTCTGTCTGTCTGCCTGCCTGTCTGTCTGTCTGTCTTTGGAGAACCCCCAGTCCCCACAGGATGGTTCCTTGCTCTGCTCCCACCTTCAGCTTCAGGGCCTTTGCAGGCTTTCCCAGGCTTGTTCCCTACTTAATCACAGCCACACCAAGTGTGGCTTGTGGACCCCTGGAGCTTCCCCAGGAGCCCTCCGAAGTCTGGCAAACGATGCTATTACAGTGGTTCCAGTAAGACAGTTAACCTGTGCATCCATGGCGCAGGTGGTGTGCCAGACTGTGCCGGTGAGCTCCTCTTCATCCAGTCCACACAGCAGCAGAGAGCTGGTGGAGGCCGACTGGAGCAGCCGCATGCCCCTGTTAAACCAGATATTAGAATGACAGTTGCCGGGGCTAGGCATGGCGATACATGTCTGTAATCCCAGCCTTTCAGGAAGTGGAGGTAGAAGTATCACCATTAGAGGCTGGCCTGAGTCGAAGTGCCAAACTCTACTGAAAAGTAAAAGCAAGAAGCTGATAGAGTATAAGGCTCTACCTTGAAATCTCCTTATCCTCCCCTCCCCCCAAAAAAACCCAAAGACTTTTACTATGTTTTGGAAAAGATACCTTTTTCATGAAAACATGTATTAATGTAATAGAATGATTTTTAAATGAGTATTTTTAAGTACCAGTGCAAATACTAATAGGCATAATCGATGCAATCCAAAGATCTTGGAAAGCTTCAATAATACTTAAAGATGTCTCCACACCAGAGCATTAGAGGACCCTTGCTCTTTCAGTGTTTCTCATAACTGAAATGATTGTGGGTTGTTTTTTGTTGTTGTTTTTGCTCACTCATGAATTTCATTCCCAAGAACATCCTACAGAGTTATGTGGGAGTTTTTACAGATGAGGAAATGAAGTTCAGGGAGATGAAGTGATTAAGAAAATCCATCCAGCAAGTAAGTTTCAGAGCTGGAATTTCAATCTGTGCCTGAATCTCATCTAATAAAATAGAATGATTGTCTCCTGTCACAGTGGCTCAGGCCTGTAATCCTAGCTACTCAGGGGGCTAAAATCTGAGGATCTCAGTTCAAAGCCAGCCCAGGCAGGAAAGGTCCATGAGACTCTTATCTCCAATAAACCACTCAGAAAACCAGAAGTGGTAGAGTACTATCCTTAAGCTGAAGAGCTCAAGGACAGTGCCCAGGCCCAGAGTTCAGGCCTCAAGACCAACATCAATCAATCAATAAAATGATTAAATACCAGAACATGCAGTTTGTTGTTCTGCTTTGATAAGTACCAAGCCTTTCATGCAAGTGTATCACTTTGTTCAACTTTTTTTGAGTACTTACTGTAATGATGCTGTGCCAGGTGCTGGAGATGCAAATTTGAATCAGAAACTCAAGTTTCCTTCTGTTTTTCTTAAGAATGTATAGCGGGAAGGTGGAGACACTACCTATGTGGCAGCAGAGAACAGGGAGAGCAGGCCTGGAATGCCAGCTACAAGAGAAAATGATGTCAAAGCAAAGCCTCCAAGGAGCTAGGCTTCCCCAGGATACATTTCCTGAACTGAGCTCAGGACAGGAGTAACTATTATGTGTGTGTGTGAGCGTTAAGCACATCATGCACACTAAAGCTGTGTCATTTCTACTGCACCCCTTAAGTATTGATGCAACTGATTTTTGTCTTCATTAGGTTCCAGATACTTTATACTTTATTGTGATTTCTCAGAAGTTAGTCAAAAAAGTGTGGGTATAAAAAATAATTCCCCTCCTCCCTCCTTTTTGTTTTTAGTCAGTCATGGGGTTTGAACTCTGGCCATGGGCACTGTCCCTGAGCTCTTCAGCTCAAGGCCAGTGCTCTACCACTTGAGCCACAATACCACTTCTGGTTTTCTGATGGTTAATTGGAGATAAGAGTCTCACAGACTTTTCTGCCCCAGCTGGCTTTGAACCATGATCCTCAGATCTCAGCCTCCTGAGTAGCTAGGATTACAGACATGACCCATTTGCGTCCCTCCCCCCTTTTGAAATTGAGTTGTAAGTTAATTATATTGTCAGAAAACCTACCTTGGGCTTTTAAAGTCATTTTTGAACAAGGCATTTAATAATTTTATCAGGACAAGATTATTTTAGTAATATTTTGATGTTTACTGAGGTTTGTTTCATATCCTATGACTATATTTGCTGTTCTAGGAGTACTTGAAGAAAAGAGGATGTATCATTGACTTGTGTTGGTCAATTACCTAGAGAAGTATAATTCTCTGTTATTAATTTTTGGCCACCCTAATAAGTACTAAGTGGTTACTTGATTTTGCTTTTGATTTGCATTTCCTTAATAATAATGTTGGGTGGCTGGATTGGACTTTTTGTTTCTGTGTTAAATGGCCAACAAAGACTTGTTTTGGCTTATGCTGTCAGGGTTTCTACCCATATTACCTGGCTCCATTCCCCACTACAGGAGAAGTGGAGAAAGGGGAGGGGCTAGATGCAGCTCCCCAAGAATCTATTTCCTCCAGTCAACCCCCCCTCCTGAAGTTTCTAGAACCTCCAGCTGGGGGAGGAAAGCATCATTACATGAACCTTTTGGGGGAACACTTCATATCTAAGTCACTATGGTGTCTTTTCAGTATTTGTTAGCATTTATGCCTTTGGAAAATGTTTATTCAACATTTTATTTTTTTAAATTATTTGATGGTTTTTCAATGTTGTCATAAGAATATTCTGGACACTAAACTCTTAATAGAAGTATGATTTATACTTTTTATTACAATTGGTAGCTGGTCTTTTCACCTTGTTTTTATCTTTTGGTACTGAGGATTCAACCCATAGACTTACCACTTGAGCTATGCCTGCAGCCCTTTGGTTTTTATTTTTTATTTATGTAATTTTTTTTTTTTACCAGTCCTGGCACTTGAACTCTGGGCTGGGTGCTCTCCCTGAGCTCCTTTTGCTCAAAGCTAGCACTCTACCATTTGAGCCACAGAGCCACTTCTGGCTTTTTCTGTTTATGTGGTACTGAGGAATCGAACCCAGGGCTTGCTAGGCAAGCATTCTATCACTAAGCCACATTCCCAGCCGTAGTCCTTAATTTAATTTATTTATTTGTCAATCATGGGTCTTGAACTCTGGGCCTGGGCACTGTCCCTGAGTTCTTCAGCTCAAGGTGAGTGTTCTACCATTGAGCCACAGTGCCATTTCTGGTTTTTCTGGGGTTAATTGGAGATAAGAGTCTCATGGAAGTTCCCCTGCTGGCTTTGAACTACCATCCTCAATGTCAGCCTCCTGAGTAGCTAGGATTACAGGCATGAGCCACCAGGGCCTGGTTCCAGTCCTTTTATTTTTATATGTTTAAACAGCTCACAAGTTACTGGTGCCACATTTCATATTTAGAAAATACTGTGTACATTTGAAAAAGATACATGTGTGTTTGTGTGTTCGTGTGTGTACATCTTAAAAGGATTTGTGTGTGCTTGTGTATGTCATTGTGCAGCAAAGGCCTTAGTGTTCATTGTTGTGTCGGCTTGGAGATGCTGGGCAGCAAGCATTCAGCAGATGGTTAAAAATGTAGTGTGAGCTACAAGGGTATAGTGTGGAAATCAGAAAGCTCCTGTTTTGGTAGTATTAATTTTTTAAGACAATTACTTAGTGTTTCTCCTGATCAGAAGTCTCTACTTACTTTAAGAAGATTATGAGTAAGTAAATATTAAACATAAACCCTGAGGCTTCACTGGTGGTGAGCACCACAGGGACCTACATCAAGTAATGTGGGAAGTCTGAGACATCATCAGTCTCCCCGCCCTAGCCCACACTCTTCCCTCTTCCCTGTCTGTGAAGGTGGGCCCGTCCATCTGGCAGACACCGTGTGTAACAGACACTGTGTGTGACAGACAGAGGTCAGATCTGAGGGTGGGTCCCACAGGCCTCTGCACGGTGCTTCAGTCCTGCTTGCAGAGTGAATGCAATGGCCTTGCCAGTCTAGCATAGACTCTGTGTTCACAGACTAATAAAACAGCTGCTAGTGGCTCACACCTGTAATCCTAGCTACTCAGGAGGCTGAGGGCTGAGGATTAGCATTCCAAGCCAAGCCAGGCAGACTTTTAATTAAATAGACTCTCCAGGTAAAATAGAAAACAAGTCAGAAGTGAAGGTGTGACTCAAGCTGACTGCTATCAACTATGAGCCAAAAGAGCCAAGCTCCCATATTGCCAAATTCATGTGCCCGTACATACTATACATATGTGTATATGTATGTATGTGTGCATATATGTGTGTATATGCACATATATATAGTCAATGAACAGAATCAGTGATTATTCTGTACATTAAAATAAGTTTTTCACATTGCCAAAGATGATCCTGAGTTCCAGATCAGCTTCTGCTGAACAGCGAGACCTTGTCTCAAAAAACCAAAAATAAAATATAAAACTCCATAAATTTCTGGTAGAATTTGGTTTTAAAGTAAGTACGAAGGCCAGGTGCTGATGGCTCATTCCTGTGATCCTAGCTACTCAAGAGGCTGAGATCTGAGGATTGTGGTTCGAAGCTAAGCCAGGCAGGAAGGTCAGTGAGACTCTTCATCTCCAATAAACTCTTCAGAAAAGGATGGAAGTGGCGCTGTGCCTTTAGAAGCTCTAGAAGCACAAGGACAGCGCCCAAACCCCAGGACTGGAACAAAAAAATGAACAAAATAATTTAGTTTTATTTCTGCAGTGAGACTAATGCATGTCAATTTTATAGATGGTGTTTTGCCCTTGGATGCGGACAACATTGATGATGACTGTCCCATTCCAAACTTCCATAAATGTGAAATCTGTCTGCTGTCTTTTCCAAAAGAGTCCCAGTTTCAACGCCACATGAGAGATCATGAACTAAATGATAAGGTATGTGTTTCAAAAGGAATGTCACAATCTGAGCATTGGAACTGGAGGTACTATAAAAATCAACATACCAAATAGTAAATTGTCTTAAAATTTAGGTTTCTGGATTGTAGAATATGTCCTGTGAACATGTTTATATCTTCTTGAAACTTGAATGTGTTGTGGTTATTTATGAGTGGAAAGAGAAATATTTCTAAGACAGACTTCTTTCAGTAGCTTGACCAAGTATAGAAATGGGTATTTTGAAGTACTTTTTTTCTGATAGGGCATTTTACCCTTAAGTGATCTTGCATGGTGTTCTAGGCATTTATAGCTTGTTTCATCCAGGAGCACTAATGTGCTTAGTTTTTTTCTTGGAGTGGTGCAGATTGGACCCAGGGCTTCCTGTGTTAAGTGTGTGCATGACTTTGCATCTAGGGCTCGGTCACACCCTTTAGCTGATTTGCTGATAGAAATCAGGCCTCGTGGCCTATGTCTCAGCCTAAATAAAAGGTTATAATCTTGTTGCTTTAGGTAATACAAGTGATTGCTTTATCTCCTTTTAAGTACAAGATAGAATATCTCTGTTGTAGGGGAAAATTTACATTAACAGAAACCACTCTATTGGAATCCAGTAAAAATTTGTATGATTACTTATTTTGCTTGAAGTGATTATGTTTAAAACAGCAAATTGATTGGAATAGAAGGATAAAGTCTACCTAATGGATTGAAATTCCCAAATCTATTTTCATGAAGACTATAAGTAGATACGTTTGTATACAACAATTTATATTAGAAATATTTCTGAACTGAACTGGGAATGTTGGTTCAGACTTGTGTTCCCAGCACTTATGAGGTTGAAGTAGAAGCATCAGGAGTTCAAGACCAGCCAGAGCTATGTAGAATTCAAGACCCAAAAACCAAAAACCAAAACCAAAACAAAACAAAAACAAAATACCAAGAAAGGATGCAAGAGATAGAAAGTAAGTGAAGACAGAAGAAAAGGAGGGAGAAGAAGGGAATAAAAGAGAAGGTAACTTTTTCTGTGTGGTGCTGTTCTTATTATCCAGGAGGAGTTCTGTTTGCAGCTTTACTGGGTCCCTGCTGGGAGTGTTGACTCAGTTCCAGAAGACACATTTTTACAAAGAGTGTCTAGATCCTGGTGCTTGTTATTACTTAAAGAATGTTTATTAAGCAAGGTCTTTAAGAAGACTGTTTCTCATTATCATCTTCCCTTTTCTCTCCACACAGCCACACCGATGTGACCAGTGTCCCCAAACATTTAATGTTGAATTCAACTTGGCCCTTCATAAGTGCACACACAATGGGGAGGATCCTGCATGCCCAGTGTGCCACAAGAAGTTTTCCAGAGTGGCCAGCCTCAAAGCGCACATCATGCTCCATGAAAAGGAAGAGGTAGTTATTTTGTACACGTTGTGTTAACTGATTGTTACACTGCTTCTGATCATTAACCAGAAGGATTTGAGATATAAACTAATTTAAAAGTCTTTTGTGTAGATTTCAAAGAGCTAATAATTATCACTAATACTGTCTCAATCTCCAGTTCACTGATAAAACATTTCATTTCCTGGCCTTCTCAGTCCTTTAGAGTAGAGACATTTGATGTTTATGTTGGCTGGCTGAGGATTCCCATCTCTACCCTCGCCACCCCACCCCCTTTTCTTGTTGGTTGTGGGGCTTGAATTCAGGACCAGGGTGCTTCCCTGAGCTCTTTTGCTCAAGGCTAGCATTCTACCTCTTAAAGCCACAGCACCATGCTACTTCGGATTTTTGAGTGGTTAATTGGAGATAAGAGTCTCATAGACTTTCCTACCTGGGCTGGCTCAGATCTCAGTCTTCTTGAATAGCTAGTAGGATTATAGGCAAGAGGCACCCACGCCCAGCTTTCACACTCCTCCCCCCCCCCGTCCCCCCCACAGTTTTTTTTTGCGGTCTTGGGGCTTGGACTCAGCTCCTGTGTGGGTACGGTCCTTAATCTTTTTTTTGCTGAAGACTGGCACTCTACCAGTTGAGCCACAGCGCCCCTTCCAGCGTTTTCTGTGTATGTGGTCCTGAGGGCTTCATGCATGCTAGGCAAGCATTCTACCACTAAGCCACATTCCCAGCCCTGCTATTTCCTTCTTGAGACAATAAAAATAAATATCCTATTTAAATTATATATATATATGTATATATAAAAATTAAGTTCATACTTTGGACAGAGGTTTGTATTTTGTCTTTTAAGTACCTGAATTTTTGAGACAGGATCTTACTAAGGTAGCCTAGACTGTCTTCATGCTTATTAGCAAGTGCTATGATTTCTGGTTTGTTTCACCATGCACAGCCTGAAATGCTTTTAATTCTTCTTTTAAAATAATCTAGAGCTGAGCACCGGTGGCTCCTGCCTGTTATTTTAGCTACTTAGGAGGCTGAGATCTGAGAATTGTGGTTTGAAGCCAGCCTAGTCTGTGACACTCTTATCACCATTTAACCAATAAAAAGCTGGAAGTGGCCCTGTGGCTCAAATGGTAGAGTGCCAGCCTGGAGTACAAAAGCTCAGGGACAGCCTAAGGTCTAGGACCAGTATGCCAGCATGCACACATGTGCACATATAACACACATGCATGTACGCATATGTGTACATACACACAGAGTCTATTATTGAATTTTAAATTTACATATGTAAGTAATGAATGTTTACTTTGGGAAAAGTTTGAAACAAAAGAACTAAAAACACTCATGGTAAAGTATGAAAAGTTGACCTTGCATGGTGCTAGTGGCTCTAAATCTGAGGATCTTGATTTGAAGCCAGCCCAGGCAGGAAAGTCTGTGAGACTCTTATCTCAAATTAACCACTCAAAAACCCGAAGTGGCAGAAGTGGCACTGTGGCTTTAAGAGGTAGAATGCTAGCCTTGAGCAAAAGAGCTCAGGGACAGTGCCCAGACCCTGAGTTCAAGCCCCAGAACCAGAAAAAAAAATGTTGACCTTATAGAGACAGTAGAAAGTACCAGAGGATGTTGGTCAAAGGTTATACAACTCTAGTTAATCAGGACCAATTGTTGAAAAAGATCTGTATTGTATTACAGTATTTAATGCATGTAGCATTATATTGTGTTTAAAAGTTGCTGAGAGTAGATTTTAACATGTTCTCACCATAAAATAACATGTATGTTAGACTGTATATGTTCAGTACTTTGACTTAGCCAGACCACAGTGTGTCTGCATATCTAAGCATCATGTTGTGCACTATAATTTTTTGTGTGCTGGTATTAGAGTTTGAACCCCATATGTGATATATATTATCAAATACACATACATCTATGCATACAAATCAGGGCCTGTGCTCTGCCCTTGGTCATATTGCTCAAGGCTAGTATTCTATCTTTTGAGGCACAGTTCCACTTCTGGCTTTTTCTAGGTTAATTGGATATGAGAGTCTAATGGACTTTTCCTACCTGTTCTGGTTTTGAACCTCAGTTCTCAGATTTTAGTCTCCTGAGTAGCTAGGATTGCAGGAAGAGCCACTGACACCTGGCTTGTAAATGCTTTTTTTAATTGGTCAGTAAATTTAATTAATTAAAATTATTAAAAGCACTCACAGTCACAGCCTTTGGAGACAGTTGCATGTGTAGTCTTTCAGGCTTTTTTTCATACATGCATGTGTGTGTGTGTGTGTGTGTGTGTGTGTGTGTGTGTGTGTGTGTTGTATGAAGGCTTGAACTCAAATCTTCAAGCACTTGCCTGACTTTTTTGTTCACTTCTGGTGCTTTTGACCATGCCTCTAGTTCAGCTTTTTTTTTTTTTTTTAACCGATTAATTGGAAATAAATACCTGGTGGATTTTTTTTCTGCCTGGACTGACTTTATACTGTGATCTTTATATCTCAGCTTCCTGAGTAGCTAGGATTATAGATGTGAGCCACTGGCACCCAGCTACTGTAATATTCTCTATATGATAGTTTATATGATTTGGCTTCTCTTCAAACTCTTTGCAAGCTCCTTTTTCTCAATAACGATTATTAACATAATACTTCATCTTTTCACTTATATACATGTATATCTATGCATGTTTTATTAGTCTTTGTGTAGGATAGATCTCTTATACTTGGGTTTAGTAAGTTAATAAAATGGACTTTATGTGATCTTGCCACAAAATAACATGGATTGCCATATTATGTTCTAGAAAGCATAGGCCATTTTATACCTTCATTGTAGAATGTAGGAACTGAATGCCTCTTACTCAATTATAGCACTATGTAGAAATGGCCATAGTTTTTTTTTTTTAGTTTTATTTCATTGTAAATGAAATAAAATGGTGTACAGAGAGATACAGTTACATGAGTAAGGTAATGAGTACATTTCTTGTCGAGCATTGTTACCTCCTCTGACTATAGTTTTATTTTATTCATATATTTTATTTTATTTTATTTTTTGTGGCTAGCAAGGCCTAGCAATTACTGGACACATGTTCTACTTCTTGAGCCACACCCTCAGTCCTTTTGTCTTTTATTTTTTTAAGTAGGAATGTGTTAAGCAGTGGTGTATTAGAATACTTTGCATTAAGTGCTGCATGCATACCGTAAGGAGCCAGGAGTGAAGCAGGTGGACATAAAGAGTGAGTTGTGGCTGTCTGGACCTGGCACCTGATAGCTAGTGAAATTCCTTAGCTGCTTCTCACAGCAGCTAGAGGTAGCAGCAGTCAGTACCAGCTAATGTTTTGACAAGAGCCAGGACTTGTGTGGGTCAGGGCCTGTAGTCTCTCATCTTTGGCTCTTTACAACTTCTTTACTTCTCTAGGCTTGGCTTTCTGAAGCTTCTTCCCCCAGTGTTGCCTCCATTGCCACTGCTGCCCTCTTTTCTTTAGCCTCCTCTACTGTGATAAAGGTCACAAGTAGACCCAAAGCACACTTTTATTAGACTCCAAGGTCAGAGAGGTGGGCAGCTCCTGACCGACTTGAAAAGCGAGCCAAACAACTTGGTTACTTGGTGAGGAGGGGACTGGGACATGGGTGTGATGTGCAGATCCAGGATTGAAACTTGTACCAATTGCAACACAACTTCTGTTTTTTTTTTCTTTTTTTTGTGGGGGGGAGGGGAGGAGTCCGGTCTTGGGGCCTGAACTCTGGGCCTGGGCGCTGTCCCTCAGCTCTTCAGCTCAAGGCTAGCGCTCTACCACTTGAGCCACAGCGCCACTTCCGGCTTTGTTTTTTTTGCTTATGTGGTGCTGAGGAATCGAACCAGGGCCTCATGCATGCAAGGCAAGCGCTCTACCACTGAGCCACCTTCCCAGCTCAACACAACTTCTGAACCCACCAAATCCAGGCTGCAGGTTGTACCAGTCACATTTCCTGTTGCGTCACTAGGGGACGCTCTCCCGCACTGGTGTGCGTGAGAACAGCTGCAGGGCAAGCAGGGTTATTTTGTATTCACTGAGGCTTGTCTTGTCCAGGGCGGTGTTTGTCTGGTGTGGTGGGACCTCCTGAAGCAAACATTGGCCAGTTGCTGAGGCTGAAGTGTCCTTGCCGCCAGAGTGCAGCTCTCTCAGGTGTCTGTGAGGCGGGTTGCCATGGCGATAGTCGGGGTGAGCACTGAAAGAGCCGCTGCTTGGTTATAGCTCTCCATTCTGGTCTCTGCATGTGGGACAGGGTGTGACAGCTGTCCAGACAGGCTCAGACCCGCCCGCCGCCAACAGCTTAGCTGTCTTAAAGAAAATAATATTGAAGGATGATTACACTGAAGACCCATACATTTAGACGCACACACATTCTAAACACTCACAGTGCTTTGTTCTGACAGTGCTTAACTGGGCTCAGGCCCTGCTTAATGCCCTGGCATGTGGGCTCCTTGTGGGCAGTGAGTGTGGTGGGCGTGGATGTGGCTCTGGTGGACAGGGTTGAGGGTGGCAAGGCATGTTGTGGAAGAGCGGGGGTGGGGGCCGGGGGGGACAGTGCATACAAGAGAGCCCACTGATGGACTGAGTCACCCTTCCGTCAGAGAGTAGACGGAGATTCCCTGAGTTCTGTGTTCTGGGAAGGCCCAGCCCCAAACAACAGTAAAGAGCAGAGGTGGCTGTCTACGTCTGGGCAGGACACAGTCTCCAGCTCCAGCCTCCTGCAATTCAGAGAACAGAGCTTTCCCTATTCCTGGTCTAGTGTTCCTCAGTTCTCTTTGTCGTTCATTTCTAGAAGCCTTTGGGGTTTTACAGGTTATTTTCAAAAAGTTTTCATTGTTATGCCTACTCCACAAACTTTGTCCACATTCTTTTCCAGATGGCTCCCCAAAGTGGAGTCGACAATCCTTTATTGTTGATTGCATTTACTGAGTCAGTCCCTGGTTGTGGCTGAAGCCTAGGGATTAGATAGTACTCCGAATGCCTCCTAGAATCTGCCTTGCCTGTGGGGTGTGGTCAGAGCACCTGGCTCATTGAGCACCATTTGCTGTCCACAGACACCGACAGCTGTAGGAGAGAGTGGCTCTGGGAAGACGGGCTGGTGAGGAAAGAGGGTGTGTGCTTCTGGGAGGCAGCTGAAGGGCTTCCTGAACGGGTGTAGTGGAGGTTATGTTTCTATTCCAGCCGCCCTGGGTGGTCTGGAGAGCAGCCTGTTCACCTTGCCAACTCTGCTCTTTGAGGAGGGTACCTCTTCCAGCCTGCAGCCCTCTGCTGGCCACCAGCATCATAGCACTCACTCAGGACTTTCCAGGGGTGTCCATGTGACGTGAAGGGCTGCTCTCCTTCTGTGCAGGAGGCGTTGCTCTGCTTGCCTGAGACTTCCTAAGGACTCCCTGGGTGTGGAGGGGCAGGAGGAGGGCCCCAGCATCTGCTTTTGTCCGGCTAGATGGAAAGCAGGGGACAGCAATGACATGGCTTGGTGCTGGCTCCAGGAAGTACTCTGCACTACTTTCTTCATCTGAGCTAACCAACAGCAATTCACCCAGACAATTCTAGCAAATGTGTAAGTGATCTCCATGTAGAGCCCTTGAGATAAAATCATCGAATTGTGTGATTCAGAAGTGAGTGATGGGGGAGGATGTGAGCCAGAGCAAGGGGGGAAGGGAGGTGGTGTGAGCGTTAAATTCTGTTCTGCAACTCCAAGGCAGGAGGAGAGGTGGGTTGGGCCGTGGTTAGTGAACGGTAAGTGCTTCCTCCTGCCACCCACACTCAGGTGTTACCCAAGTGAGCAGAAGAGAACCCTTTTCCTGTCCAAAGCATTCTAGAATGATTTTTTTTAGTAGTGCCAACAAGTTACTAATAGTCTAATAGTTCCTTTCTTCTTTACATTATGATACAATATTACTAATTTAAAGTCATCCAGTCTGAAGGTGTTAGATTGTTCAAAGTATTCCATTCATCCTCATATTTTCCTGTAGCAAATCTGTAAGTATGCTCAGTTAATGACCTAGTTTTAATAAGGTCTGTGTGCCGGGCATCGGTGGCTCACGCCTGTAATCCTAGCTACTCAGGAGGCTCAAAGCCAGACCAGGCAGGAAAGTCTGTGAGACTCTTATCTCCAATAAACCACCAGGAAACCAGAAGTGGCGCTATGGCTCAAGCGGTAGAGTGCTTGCCTTGAGCTGAAGAATGCAGGGACAGCACCTAGGCCCAGAGTTCAAGCCCCACGACCGACCAAAAATAAATAAAATAAAATAAGGTTGGTGTGTGTTTATGAGACTTCTATACAGAAGGGGAAGAAATTTTGATGGAAAGAAATAGACATATTTTGTTACTTGGAAGCAACAGTGCCCTCTCACTGTGAGCTTTGCTTTGATTGTTCATATTTGGACAGTTGGTTTAGAGGATTGTTTCATAATTCCATATGGAATAGCACATGGAGTATGCATTGAAATTTGGTTGAATCAGCAGTTGCCACTGCTGGAGGTACTTACGGAGCCCTTGCCCTGCTGTGTTGTCACCTTTGAGGGAAGGCGCTGTCTCTTCTGTTGTGGGGGCCCGGAGTGGGCCCACCTGGTTCACATAGTCTGTCACTGCAGTCCTGAGGTAAAACCAGATTCAATGCTAGCAGGTCTGGACCAGAACGCCCAAGTGGAGGTGGGCAGGGAGTCAGTGTCTTCCACTTGAGAAACTAGCCCCACCAGACAGGGGTAAGTGTACCAAATAATGGCCAATGCAAGCTGTTGGTCAGTCACTGATGAGGACTTTCTTTGAAGCCCTGTGTGTTTCACACTCACGCATATGTCCATTGTTTGGCACACCCAGCTAGTTCTGGTCAAACTGAATGGATCTTGAGGTTCTCTGTTTACAAGTCTGCCAGCTGTAATCTCAGCCACCTTGACACAGAATTCACGTTGCTTTATATTTGTGGTGTTCTTTTACTTTTTACCCAGTCTTCCAGTAGAGAGATGATTTTCATGCATTCTAATTTGGACACAGTGGTGTATATTTTTGAGAAGTAAAGAAGAAGTTTGTTCCACAGGAAATGATCAGTGTCGTGGCCATTCGTGGTGCTAGTTGTTTTAAGGAGTAGTGGTTTGGATGTTGCTTTTCCAGAACCTCATCTGTTCTGAGTGCGGGGATGAGTTCACGCTGCAGAGCCAGCTGGCCATCCACATGGAGGAGCACCGGCAGGAACTGGCCAACAACCGTGTCTATACCTGCAAGGCCTGCAAGAATGAGTTTGAGACGCCATCAGAGCTGAAGGAGCACATGAAGACTCACTATAAAGTTAGGTATGGCTTATTCCTAATTCTGTGTGGGGTATGAAAAAATGGTTTCTTATCTGCTAAGTCAGGAATTGGTTATGTAAAACCAAGTTACACGTGTGCAGTTAGAGCTCAGAATCGTGGCTACCATGCCTGTACTTGATTGCATATACACATTCATTTCTGGTCAAACTTAACACTCTTGTTTACATTTTTTTTTCTTAATGAGTGAAGAACTCCTTTTGGCCCTTGTGCTCAAGTTAGCTCATGATGATGATCCATGACACATTCCTTGAGCAGATTTCCCCAACAGACTGGAAAAGGCTGTCTCAGATACTCTTTAGCTGTTGTGTTATCAATAAGTTTAGCTTGAGGCCATTCTAAGCTCTAATGGTTAGGAAATAGGTGTTTTTAAATGAGAGGTCTCACACTACTTATAAAGCTTATGAAGGGTGTAAACTCCGTGCAATGTATTTCTCATCCTTGTCTGTGCTTTTCATCTTGCCAGTTGTTGACTAATGTGTTGCCTGCCAAATACTCCATTATTTCAGTGGGTGTTTTATATAAATATAATGCATGTTCCTTGTGCACATTACATTTTTGTGTTGGTGAGATTTTAGAGCTGTTATTTTTGACATTTCTTATAGGGTTATTGAGCTGATTGGAGGTGTGTAGCTAGTCACAAGAGTCACAGACAGCTCTGCCTTCTAGGTCTTCTCAGAAAGATGAGGCACATGCTCAGGAAGCGGTCCTGTAGAGCGAGTAGGAGGTAGAGCAGTGGCGTGCTGAGGTGACCCAGCCCTGAGTTTCCTGTGTGTCTGAGAATCAAAGGCAGCTGTGATGAGTGCTGTCTGGGAAGGGCCGGAGTGGACCGAGTGTGGAGAGGCCAGCTGGAGGCCAGCCCGGGTGCCACTCTCACCACTGGGGACCGCCTGTGGCGGTGTGCACGCAAACGAGTGGCCTTAGCAGTGGAGCACGTCTCTGGCAGGATGTAGCAGAGTCCCTCCGGGAGGCTGTTACCGTGGCACCAGGTAGAGGTTGACCAGAAGCTGAGAGAGGGGAGCATTCTGAAGTGTTTCAGATTCGGGAGGTGGACTTGAAGAATCCAGCGTGCCCCTGATGTAAACCTGATTCCTGGGGGTTTCTGTTTTCTGAGGTAGAAAGGAGCAGGTTGGATAACGCCAGGTCCACTGGAACTCTGGCCAGCCAGCCCCAGCAAGGCCAGGTAGACGGTCAGTCAGCTGTCGGGTGTGTGGGTGGGGGAAGAAGTTTGGAAATGATGCTGTAGAAAGTGGAGACTGAGGCTGTGCAGACTCGCAGAGGTCTCTGACCAGCCACAGCTGATCTAGGAGAGACAGTCCACTTCTACTCTAGCACCACACTGGGACCTGGCGTGGGTAAAACAAGCTTGTCTTTCATCAGAAAAAAATGAATTTTCCTAGTAGTATTCTCATTTTGAAACTGTAATTTAAGAGGGATGACTTAATGATGATTTCTTCCTATTATACCTAGGGTATCAGGTACAAGGTCTTATAATCGGAACATTGACAGAAGTGGCTTCACCTATTCCTGTCCACACTGTGGGAAGACGTTTCAAAAGCCCAGCCAGTTAACTCGACATATAAGGATACACACAGGTGTGAAGAACATCACTTTGGGATGATTTATTAAGGAAATGTGCCTTAGTACTAGTGCAGATATAAATATCACTCTTATGTGGTATTTGAATCTAATCCTGGCTTTTCTAAACTTTGCTCTGTAGTATTGGTGAAAATCTTACTGAACCTTTCTCTGATATTACCTCACTTGAAATATAGGGATATTATATCCATCAAATAGTTGTCCTACATTACAAATGGACAAATCCACAAAGTGTCTATAGAATAAAGTTCCTGATGTATAGGGGTATGCTTTGTTGCTGGGACTTGGAATTAGTGGTGGGCTGGTAACACCTAGGCTGATTAGTTCTGAAGACAACACCAGGTCTTCAGATGCTATTAAAATATCCTGCCTTCACGAACTATACTGTAAAGCGTCCAAGTAATAATTCATTCTCTGTGCCATGTCTTGCTCATTCATTATTTTTGCTTGAATATTTGAAAACAAGTACAGTATTCACTGTATTGAGCCTTCCTGCCATTTTGTAGGACAGTTTACCATATTGTACAGTAAACCAAGGTCAGCTCTGGGAGAACAGTGCAAATATTTATGTCTTTGAAGTGACCCCTGCATTGTCACTTGGTTTTCTTTCAGTCTCATCATTTGGTTTCCTGCACAGTGACAAGCAGTGGCATCTTGTCGTAGTGTGGGCGGCAGCAGTGGTTGGTCAGCCCGTTTAGATTGTGCGTTGCTGCTTTCCCATCAGCACTCTTAGAAAAGTGTCTCTGTGTAGAGGACTGTCAGATCACCCAGATAATTCCAGTCTTGTTTGTCATTATGAAGTTAGCATTTTCAAAGCATCAGCCCATCCTTCTTCCTAGAGTGAGGAGAAAAGAAAGCAATGTGTGTAAAATCTGAGACCTCCAGGCACTGGTGGCTCATGCCTGTAACCCTAGCTACTCAGGAAGCTGAGAAATGAGCGTCAAAGTTCAAAGCCAGCCTCAGCAGGACAATCCATGAAATTCTTATCTCCAGTTAACCAGCAAAAATCTACAAGTGGAGCTGTGGCTCAGGAGTGCTACCTTTGAGCAGACAAGCTCAGGGATACACGTAGATCACGAGTTGCAATCCCAGTATCAGCTCACAAACACAAAAGATAACAGAACAGTGCTTTTGCTGGTCTGTGGAGTGGACTGAGCCAAACCACAGATGAGAACAGTTAGATTCCGGAGGGATAGCGATGGCCCTGGAAGTGGTTCTGGAGCTTGCCTCAGAGATGGCCGGGACTTTGGTTAGGCAAGCCAATGCTGAGATTTAGAGGAGATCATTGTGTATGTGAATGTACAGGTGTTTGGCTGAAGGAGAAGGTTTAGGGTCTTGAGTGGTAACTTGCATAGCTGTTTTCTAGCCTGTGATGCTCACACAGATCTGTGTTCTCCTTGTAGGTGAGAGGCCGTTCAAATGCAGCGAGTGTGGAAAGGCATTTAACCAGAAGGGGGCCCTGCAGACCCACATGGTCAAGCACACAGGGGAAAAGCCCCATGCCTGTGCTTTTTGTCCTGCTGCCTTCTCTCAGAAAGGGAACCTCCAGTCCCACGTGCAGAGAGTCCATTCAGAGGTACGCTTAGCTCTGAGCTCCTGAGAAGTGCTTCAGTTGATGGAGAACCTAAGAAACTGTGCTCTGATTTTTAAAGAAAATCCAGTTACGCACAGTGACCTGTTTTAGGGGGAAAATAATATATATATATATATATATATATATAAATGTATATACACTTAAAAATCCCCCCATTTGGCTTATTATATGTGGAAAAAATAGAAAATACTATGTTTTCTTGGTTTGAATATATATTTGAAAATACAATGTTGTGATCTGTTACTGTGACTAATGTATTTCTTTTAGCAGATGAAATGCAGATATTGTCAAGCCTAAGATGTAGAAAGATAAAGCAAAAATATCTGAGAAAAACAAACTTTTTTTTTGTCAGCCATGGGATTTGAACTCTGGGCCTGGGTGTTGTCCCTCAGCTCTTTAGCTTAAGGCGAGTGCTGTACCACTAGAGTCACAACACCACTTCTGGTTTTTGAGTGGTTAATTAGAGATAAGAGACTCATGGGGACTTTTCTGCCCAGGTTGGCTTTGAACCATGATCCTCAGATCTCAGCCTCCTGAGTAGCTAGGGTTACAGGGGGGAGCCACTGGCACCTGGCTCAATGAAATGATTTTGAACAATGAAAACTTATCATTTTTAAAAGCAAAGAAGTACAATGTGTGTATTTTTAATTTTTCTTTGAATAATTGAAGTAAAACTGTTAAGTACTACTTAAATGATCTGTAAGGTATTAGGCTGGGGTGTCTTATGTGTAATCTCAGTAGTTAGGATGCTAAGATAGGAAAATCATTAGTTTGAGGCCTAAAACCAAAGGTAAAGCTGATTTTTTATTTTAGGGTAGCAGGATAAAATATAAAATAAAATGGGTATCTAAAATAAAAAACCTATATGTCACAAAGTTTCATAAAGAGATTCAGAATTTAATTCTCAACAAGTTATTGTAAAAAGTGATAAGCCTTTACTATCTAGATCCAGAGGTGGTGGGAAGGGCATGTTGACAGGGTGAGGTGCTGACTCCCTGCCCTTCAGTCTAGAGAGGGCACATGTGGGCAGCACAGGCGCTTTGGTGGAGTTGCTTCTGAGTACTGAAGGCTGCATGGGGACAGCTGTGCACTTAGCAGGCTCTCAGGAACTTGGAGCCCCAGGGTGGCCCTGGGAGGCACTCACCCAGGGTCCAGTGTCTCAGGAGGCACCAAAGGCCTTCAATCTGGTTATTGAGATGTGGGAAATAGAAGGAAGCTTCAGTCAAGTTCAGAGAGCTCCATAAGTTTCTTTTTTTTTTTTTATTGTGAAAATACCGTACAGAGGGGTTACAATTACATGAGCAAGGTAATAAGTAAATTTCTTTTTTTTTTTTTTTGGGTACAGTCGTGGGGCCTGAACTCTGGGCCTGGGCGCTGTCCCTCAGCTCTTCAGCACAAGGCTAGTGCTCTACCACTTGAGCCACAGCACCACTTCTGGCTTTTTTTTTTGCTTATATGGTGCTGAGGAATCGAACCCAGGGCCTCAGGCATGCAAGGCAAGCGCTCTACCTCTGAGCCACCTTCCCAGCCTCAATAAGTACATTTCTTATCAAGCATTGTTGCCTCCTCCTTTGTTTCCCTCTTCTCCCGCGTCGTTCCCCCCACCCATGAGTTTCTAAGCCAGTTTCTGTAATGATGACAATAAGAAAGACTAGGTTCAAGATGCTTTCTCTTCATAGATACTCTTAGTCACGTTATTGTTCTCTGTGCTCTCTTTCTGCCTTTACGGTAGTTTTAGACATTAGTCACTGATAAGGTACTAAAACTGGTGATAAAAAATTAGACTGTATCACCTTCCTTCATAACCTGTGTGTATACTCCAGTTACTGAGAGTAGTATTTATATCTGTTTTGCCTTTCTTGTTTAACCTTGTATTTAGCCACTTGAAAAGCTGAGAATTGCCGGGCGCTGGTGGCTTGTGCCTGTAATCCTAGCTATTCAGGAGGCTGAGATCTGAGAATCATGCTTCAAAGCCAGCCTGGGCAGGATAGTTCGTGAGACTCTTATCTCCAATTAACCATCAGAAAACTGGAAGTGGCTCAAATGGTGGAGCACTCAGCCTTGGGCTGAAGAGCTGAGGAACAGTGCCCAGGTCCGGGGTTCAAGTCCCATGATTGACAAAAAACAAACTGAGAACTATAAAAAGTGTGCTTCCTCATTCCTGAGCCACTTCTCATTTCAGTTGATCTCATGCTAACATTAGTGATTAAGGAAATGGCTCATTGATTCTAGAGCTGTCTTAGAAGAAAGAAAACTAATGATGAAAGGAATGGTAAATTAGGATTTTCTAGAACTTAAAGGTTTTCAAATGATTAAGAATAAAAAGTATGTTTTTCTTTTTTATTCTTTAAGGTCAAGAATGGCCCTACCTATAACTGCACAGAGTGTAGTTGTGTGTTTAAAAGTTTGGGTAGCTTGAACACTCACATCAGCAAGATGCACATGGGTGGAGCCTCAAATTCCACAGGCTCTACAGAGACTGCCCACGTAATAACGGTGAGTTTACTAAATTGGTTAATCAGAGGATCCGCCCCCCCAAAAATCCAATTTTATATATGACCTCCAAAATCTAATATTGAGTGCCAGAAATGCACCATCAAGTTTTTTTGTTTTTTGTTTTTTTTTTGGGTCCGGTCGTGGGGCCTGAACTCTAGGCCTGGGTGCTGTCCCTCAGCTCTTCATTCAAGGCTAGCGCTCTACCACTTGAGCCATAGTGCCACTTCCGGCTTTTTTCTTTTTGCTTATGTGGTGCTGAGGAATCGAACCCAGGGCCTCAGGCATGCAAGAAGAGTACTCTACCACTGAACCACTTTCCCAGCCCCCATCAAGTTTTTTTATATGATGGTAAGGTGCTTCTATTTTTTTAACTAAGAAAGTCAGTCTTTGTAAACTTGAGGATAATAGATGATCCTGATTTATTTATTTATTTATTTTTGGGGTCCGGTTGTGGGGCCTGAACTCTGGGCCTGGGCGCTGTCCCTCAGCTCTTCAGCTCAAGGCTAGCACTCTACCACTTGAGCCACAGCGCCACTTCCGGCTTTTTTCTTTTTGCTTATGTGGTGCTGAGGAATCGAACCCAGGGCCTCAGGCATGCTAGGCAAGTGTTCTACCACTGAGCCACCTTCCCAGCCCTTTTTTTTTTTTTTTTAATTGACGAGTTTCACGGACTTTCCTGCCTGGGCTGGCTTTGAACCTTGAACCTCAGATCAGCCTCCTGAGTAGTTAGGATTACAGACATGAGCCACCGGCGCCCGGCTCCCATTGTTCCTTTTTTAAGACTTTTTTTTTTTCTGATTGGGGCACTTGGCTCTGAAATCCACTTAACATTTTCTTGTTGGATATTTTCTGCTCCTTCCTCTTAGCTTATCCTGTCATCAGAAGAAAGTTCTGAGTCTGTTTGTAAGCTTTCTGTGTGGTCAGGGGTCACCTGGCCAATGAGCAGCCAGTGAACCTACTCTTTGGATTCAGAGAACACAGAAATCTTTAATCTGGGGAGCTAAGTGCCATAGGAGGTTGCTGTCATGTCCCACAGTTTGTTCTTAGGTTGATAGAAGCAGGTCCTCATTTTTTAGATATTGAAGTGAGTTCTTCATTGTTCTATGGAGGTTATGAAGGAGGTTTTCCCTGTCTTTTTCCATTCCTCCCTCCCTCATTCCTTTGTGCTTCTTTTTTTTGTCGATCATGGGGCCTGAACTCTGGGCTTGGGCACTGTCCTTGAGCTCTTCAGCACAAGGCGAGCGCTCTACTGCTTGAGCCACAGCACCACTTCCAGTTTTCGAGTGGTTTATTGGAAATAAGAGTCTCACAGACTTTCCTGCCTGGGCTGGCTTTGAACTGTGATCCTCAGATCTCAGCCTCCTGAGTAGCTAGGATTACAGTCGTGAGCCACCGGCACCCGGGCCTTTGTGCTTCTTTAATGCATGTGCTGCATTTAGTATACCAGAGAGATGAAGACCTATATACTCAGTCTCTCCACACTGAAGTTAGTAAAAAGTTATAGAACAGGTTATTGGGTGTATTCATTTAAGAGCCAGTGTTGGGCCTAACACAAGTTATGCTTTATGCTAGGAGCAGGTACTGCTAATCTCAATGCTAGTAAGGGTTGCATTAGCCGTTTCTTTTTCTGTATAAATTAAAATTTTCATTTTTAATGAAAATGTCACCGTGTTCCAGGCCACACTTTTTCAGACTCTGCCTTTGCAACAGACGGAAGCCCAGGTCTCCACCTCCAGCCAGCAGAATTCTCAGGCAGTGACCGACGTCATCCAGCAGCTCCTTGAGCTGTCAGAGCCAGGGGCTGTGGATGCACAGCAGATCCCACAGGCTGGGCAGCAGCTGAGCATCACAGTGGGCATCAACCAGGACATCCTGCAGGTGAAGCACGTTTACCTGTTGGCGTGAGGCTTTCACACTTAGGCTCTGTCAGAAACCAGGCTTGTTACTGAAAGATAGCTGTGCAAGGCTAGTCAGACAGGCATCCTAAATTAAAATGTATCAACATTGAAAAAGATTATAGTGAAATGGCTTGAATAGTTCCTTGTACTCAATGCAGAATTCTAAATACTGTATTTGCTAGTCTATACATCCAAAAAAGATAAAGCTTCCTCCCTTTTTTTTTTTTTCCGGTCCTGGGATTTGAACTCTGGACCTGGGCACTGTCCCTGAGCTTCTTTTGCTCATGACAAGTGCTCTCTACCACTTGAGCCACAGTGCCACTTCCGACTTTTTTGACTAGTTCATTGGAGATAAGAATCTCATGGACTTTCCAGCCCCAGCTGGCTTCAAACCACAATCCTCAAATTTCAGCCTTCTGAGTAGCTAGGATTATAGGTGTAAGCCACCAGTGTCTAGCTAGTTTTCCTCTTTACTTGAAAAGACTCTTTAGAACTAGTATCTATCTGTTGAGTGACTTGACAGACATACTTCATTTCTCTTGAGTGTGTGGTACAAGTCATAGATGTATCTGATTCCGGTGTGTGTGTGTGTGTGTGTGTGTGTGTGTGTGTGTAGGAGGGCGGGGTGGATGGGGGCGCATTGCTGGCTCTGCTGTGGGTAGATGATCAGCCTAAGCACACCTGGGAGAGGAGGAGGCTGGGCAGAGAGTGCTTTCCTGACTGGTCACCCCAGGTCAGGACCATAGCCACAGTTCTTCACTTCCACACAAGGGCCTTCCTCCTCTTCCCTGTCTCTGCGTACACCAGCTTCTCCTGCCTCATGGTGAGGAGTTGTCCTGGTTGTGAGGATGTCACACCTTAGCCAGTGTCATAAAGAGAAACCCAGAGTGCTTATGCCCTGAGATAGAAACCTGCCGTTCAAAGACAGTTCAGGCTGTCAGAGGAAAGTTTTTGAAAGTTAATGAATTTTAAATCCCTTCGCTTTAGAGATAGAACTACTTATCACATTGCGTTTTGGGTGGGAGTGGAATGTCAGGTATCAAAAGGGAGGTCACAGCCTCCAAATTTGGATGCCTCCTTTGATAAACAGTTGCTGGGAACTGTACCGTCTATTTCTTGGAGTGGAGTCAGTTCTGTGGGTGAAGCTTTGTGGCATCTTGTGATAGATTGTGGCAGGCCGGTCTGGGCTGCTGCCTCTTCTAACCTTTTAGTTTTGTTCTGTCTCAGCAAGCCTTAGAAAACAGTGGGCTGTCTTCACTTCCAGTTGCAGCACCTCCCCACGACTGCAGCCACACCCCGCCGTCTGCAGCCCCGCCTCCCAGCCCACCTGCCTCGGGTGTGTCTGTGGAGCCGGTGGACCCTACAGTGGCTGCGCAGGAAAAGGGGCAGGAGAGCTCCGAGAAGGCAGAAAAGAGAGAGAAGAAAGTCATGAAGAAGAAGTCACCGCTCCTACCTGGTAACTTAGTGTGCTTTGCCCTCAGATGTTTTGGACAGTGTATATATGCATTTGGGGAAGCACCAGCATCCCTGCTCTGGGTGAAAGCCACGTTTGCCGCATGCTCTGAGTGACCTGTTGTGGACTGGAGCCAGAATCAGTGGGTGGTCACAGTGCTTCTTGGATGCGCTCTTTACTTCGGCTTCCAGCCAGTCCCTGGCTTGCACTTGGAAGGTCTGTGCAGGGTGTCTGCCTGATCTGGACACTTCCTCAAGCTTTAGAACCATCACCTCTTCAGTCTTGACTCACTGCCCATTGCTTCTGTGGCTCCACTGTCCAGCCCAGCATCCTTGTGGGCTCTTCTTCCTTCCCTGGGTGCTGCCACCTGACAGTGCCTAGGCCCACTCTGCTGAGCCTCCACCCTGAGCCATTCCATACCTACCCTCACTTCTCTGTTTTAGTCCTCCATCGCTTGTCCCAACCTGGCTCCTGTCCTTCCTCTACCCTTGGGGTAGACTCTTACTTTACATACAGTGAAGCTGTATATCTGTCACATTTCCAAATAACCATGCTTTCTTCTGAGGCTTTCCTTCCTGAAAGGGTCGTTCTCATCCTTACTCCATCTCAGGCCAGAAGCTATGGAGTGTGCATGCCAACGTGTCCGTACTGGTGTGGTGGGATGCTTGCATTCTCCCACAGGGATTGTGCAGATATGATCTATGGCTCTTCCAGGCAGTGGGCCCTTTCTGTCCCAAAAGGCATCTGCTCCTTTCTGCCCCCTCAGCCTCTGAGTCACTCTTGTTCACAACCAAGACCAAAATGAGATGGAATCTTAGTATCATTGTGGCTTACATTTCCTTTATGGCCAAGGATGCTGAGCATGTCTTCCTGTGATTACTGGCTATCTGTACCTCTTCTGGGAAGCATCTGTTCAACTCCTTTACTCATTTATTAATTGGGTTCTTGGATTGTTGGGGGTTTAGTGTTTTGAGCTCCTTGTATATTCTAGTTATTAGACCCTTGTCTGATGTATACCTGGCAAAGATCTCCTGTTTTGTAGGCTGTCTTTTGAGCTCAGTGATTACCCTTCATTGCAGAAGCTTTCTGCTTGATGAAGTCCTAGTGGGAGAGTTTTAATAAGTCCTATTTGAATAAGATTTCACAAGTTCTTTTCCATAGTTAGTTTGGTAAGGGTTCAGGCTCCCGATCCTGAAGTGACTATGGATGCCCAGTCATTAGGGCGTGGTTTAGGTCCTTGATGAACCTTCAGCAGGAGACTGCCCAGGTATCCTCTGGGCCCTATGAAAGTCGGGTTCTCAGTGCTCCTGCGACACCAGGTGCATCCGTCCCCTCTGTGCATGCATGGCCAGGACATAGGTTTGCCTCAAGGTGCCAGGAAGCGCACTGGGTAAGCACTTGTGCTGGGTAGGTCTCCTTGTCCACCTCTCAGAGTTCTTCTGACTGAAAGGTATAATGTGTGCTGTGCCCTTGGATTGGAAATTCAGTTTCTCAGAGGCTGACAAACCATCACTCCTTGTACATTTGCTGTTCCTGATGTGCTGGGGCTTTGCTTGAGCACGGTGACAATTTGAAGGCATTGCTTCACAGAATCTACTTCTCCATACAGCTGATGGTCAGAGCAGGTGCTAAAGCAGAGGACTGCTCTCTGCTGTCATGGTGACCTGTGTCTTCAGCTGGCCTGGTCTGGCTGACGAGAGGATTGGGTTCCTGGGGTTTCTTCCTGCATAGTCTTTGGGCATGTGTCTGAGCAGGAGGGGGAGTGGAGTTCTTACTGTAGGCCTGCAGTCCTGCGATGAAGGGGTACTGAGGGCTGGTAAGAATGTCTGAAGCAAGCCATACAGAGAAGTCTGGCAAGGGCTGCACTGTGAAACTTGCTGCTGAGGCCGCTACAGGCCCCTCAGGAATATCGTAACAGCCTGGTTCAGAAAGTCTGGAGCCTTCCTACTCCTGCGTGAGCAGCAGAATCTGAAACTCCTCCATTACTGGAGTGGACAGATTCTTCATTAGTGCTTTCTTCAGCTGATGATAGTCAGCAGTCCAGCTGTCACTGCCATCCAGCAAGGAGCGAAAGCTCTTAATACGTCTGTGTTCTGTTCAGCATATCTTCAAGGAAAGGATTCATGTGTTTCCTGATAGCTGACAAAGCTACAGAAGGGAAAGTAGTTCTGCTGTGACCCTGTGATTTAAGAAAGCTGTTGCTGGCCATGGAGTGTATCACAGTGAGCAGTGGAAACACTGTGGAGAAGTCGTCCAAGTCGCCCAGTGTCTGGTAACTGCTGTAGGAGCTGACCCCTGCTACCCTCAAAGTCCTGGGCCTTGTGTCCTGCCAGCCACTGACCACTGAACTGAAAGTGAGTAGCGTCACCTCCTCCGGGGCTGCCGTGGAGTGTGAGTCTCATCAGTGGCATGTGTGGAACTGCACATCAGCTAGTAGTAGAGGTGAAGTTCCATTAATCCGGTCCGGCAAAATGTGAGCTGCTTTCTGTGGTTCTCAAGTGTGGCTTCGTCCTCAGTTCATTTTCAGATGGATTCTTCATCGTGAGTCAGTGTTTCCATAACAGTCAGGGTATTTGCTGCTGTATCTGCTTGTTGCTGGTCTGAGTGCAGACTACCTTTAAGCATCAAGATCATCACAGCAAATCCACTGATGCTAGGGGCAGTGCCATCATCTCGGAGCAGTGGTCACTGTAGAGTCATCAGACTTTGGTTCAGTGGCCCACGGCTTAGCATACCCTATCCTTAGCTAATGGTGTCCAGCTAATGATCAGTATCTATCCCTTGGTGCTTCTCAGCCTGTAGTGTCTGGCCAGAAAGACTGCATCTTGCCAGTGCTGGACAGGCTAGCATACTGCAGCACTTGATGTGAAGGCCACATTGGCTTCACATGGCCAGTTGTGTCTGTTCCTTTATGTACAGTGTCAGAATATAATCCCATGAGCCTCCTGGGAACATCTGCCAGCAGGTGTCCCAGCAGTACATTTACACACTGTCATTGGCTGTGTTGAGACATAGCCCCAACTACTTCCTGCACTGGCATGTCACTTCAGAATTGGTGTACTGCTAGTAATTTGCCAAAGTGGGTACCATTGTGAAGTTTGTGGTGCAGTGTCCTGGTGTTACCTTTCATCACAGATTCCTGTGAGCCTCCTCTATCCAGTGTATGCACCACATCCTGCTTGTCAACTTCAGATCAAAGGCCATGAGGTGGGGATCTGTAATTGAGAGTAAAATAAAAGTAAAATCTTGGGTTATTGCTGAGGAATTATGTAACATGAAGCAGAAGATATGGACTTCTTTACAAAAAGATTTGCATTTGAGGAGTCAACATATGAATTGGTAGCCAGGATTCATATAACTGCCCAGTTCCTTGTTAGCTCATAATATTTGTATTCACCTTGGTATTATTGTTCCCGAAAGTAGAAACCCTTTATGTGGCTTGACTTTGCTGTGTGGGTTGGAACTCCTGCATACACATCAAGGCTTCAGGAAGAATCCCATGGCCTCCAGTGGCCAGGGTCCTCCGTCTGAACCAGCAATTGAGCTTTGCTCAAAAGGAACTTCCACATCTGATAGTTACTTTGTTCTGTCGGCTTGCCTGGATTGGCACGGGCCTAGAAGGTTGATGCAACATGCTCCTGGGTGTCCGAGGCATTTCCATCCTACCGTGAAGATGGTCAAAGGCTGGGGCTTAGATGGAATAAAATAAATGGAAAAAGCCCCCATTCGCACAGGCATTCTCCATCTCTGTCTGTTTCTCCTTCCTGGCTACTGGGATTCGAGCTGTTCCACCTCTCTAGCCGAGCAAGATGGATCTTTGCTCCTCTCACATCATTTCTTTTACAGTAGCAAGAGCATTCATTTATCCATCCCAGGCCCTGCATTTGAGTTTTCTGAGCACCACAATCCACCCTTGGAGCCCCTAGCATTCATAGGGGTCTTTCCTGTTCCTCCACTGGGGGGTGGCCACACAGGCCCATCCTCGCTGCCTTATCTCCCTCAGCCTCCCTCGGCCTTGGCTGTGGCTGGAACGAAGGAAGTACACAGGGCTTTCCCCTTGGCAGCAACCTGAGGCTCATGGGCAGGCCTCGCCTGCTGTTGGGTACTGAGCCTTGGTGTTCACGTGAGGCATCCCTTATCCTGGCTGGAAGTTTTTGTTTCTGGGACCTCCCTGTTCCTGGCTTCTGCCTCTTCATTCATCTGGTAAATGTACCTCAGGCAGGCCTCTCTTATCTCTAATAATCTGCCTTCATAGTGCAGCCAGGGCCTGCTCTGTGGTACAGGAGTCTCTGCATCTTCTCTTCCTGGAGGCAATGGAATTAATGGGGGTTAGTGCAAGTCTCGTCGCATTCTCGTACCTTGCATGCCTGGTACACGTACAGGACTTCCCTCCTTGATGATGCTGAGTGTTTGCAAATTTGCTGTCACCTCAGGGATAATTCTGTATAATAATTCTGCCTAAATATATCAGTGTCAGTGTGTTTGAGGAGGAAATCTATTGCTTTTCCAGACATCTCCATTTGTTACAGTCAGGAATCTGAATTCTGTTCTTTTTCTTTGCTGGTTATGTTTGAGACAGCTGCATTGCTGCCAGTTTGGAGGTTCTATTAGAAACCATTCCTAGAAGGTTAGAACTTGGTGACAGTTTTCTACTATGACAGCCTATCTAATTAAAGACATTTTAATTTTTGTTTAAAAAATATGATTTCTGGGGAAGAATTCTTAATTTTAGCTAACATTCTAGTTGCTATATTACCTTTTTTTTGGTCAGTCGTGGGGCCTGAACTCTGAGCCTGGGTACTGTCCCTGAGCTCTTCAGCTCAAGGAGAACGGTCTACGATTTGAGCCACAGCGCCACTTCTGGCTTTTTCTGTTTATGTAGTGCTGAGGAATTGAACCCAGGGCCTCATCCATGTAAGGCAAGCGCTCTACCACTGAGCCACCTTCCAAGCCCCTATTTTTTAAACTAATTTTTTTATTGAGATGAGGTGATTACATAAATTTCACACATTTCACAGTATTGTAGAATAGTGATACTTTATTAAAGTCACAGACATATTTTAACCTTCACAAGGCAAATTGTCATTATCATGGTCTATAAAATTTGTGAATTCTATGAGCTTTGACAGTATAACTATTTCTTCCACACCAGGTGATGATTACATTTCTTTCCTTTTGCTTAGTGTCAGCTGTTCCGTCTTTCCCTCTCATTCCCTCCCTCCCATCACTGCCTTTGAGTTGCTTAGTTCGTTTTCATCAATGTCCAGTATAGCTGATAGGCCCCTCTGTTGTATGTTTTCCCGTTTCCCTCTGATTCTGTGTCCTCCTCCTGGCTTCCCTCAGATGTGTACATATATATATATATATATATATATACACACACACACCATATATGTGGTCAAGAACATGGCGTCATTTAGCAATGATACAACAAAAAGAGTGGAAGTCCTTTGTTTCTTGAGTCCTGTTTACTTTGTCATATCTCCTTGCATTTTGCCCAGCCCCTATTTTATTTTTTTTTTGAAACCTAATTTTCTTTTCTTGGATTGTTTTTTTGCCAACAACATATTAAGGATACATATTTCCTATCTTTATACATTTGCTTACACTGAGGGAAAATTCTTTGTATTTGCTGATAACAGAAAGAAGGAGATGATGGATTGTTTTTTCAAGTCCTGGGACTTGAATTCAGTGCCTGGGCATTGTCCTTGAGCTTTTTTTTGCCGAAGGCAAGTGTTCTTCCACTTGAGCCACAGCTCTACTGCTGGCTGTTTTGGTGCTTTTGAGATAAGAGTCGCACAGACTTTCCTGTTCTGCTGGTTCCAAATCATGATCCTCAGATCTGAGCCTCCAGAGTAGCTAAGGTTATAAGCATGAGCCCTAATGTCTGGCTTGGATTTTTTCTTTTACTCACTTAAGAAAACTATGTCTTGGAAGTGGTGCTGTAGCTCAAGTGGTAGAGCATTAGCCTTGAGCTGAAGAGCTAAGGGACAGCGCTCAGGCCCAGAGTTCAAGCCCCATGACCGACAAAAAAAAAAAAAAAGTATGTCTGTATTGGCATAGATAAATTTAAATTTGACTTGAAATTTTCTGATGAATTTCATTAAAATGAGCAAAATGCTTTGGATTTTAGAATCTTTCCTTGAATTAAATTGTCTATATAAAAAAGTCTATATAATTACTGTAGATATTTGTTTAAGTTCAGATGAATAAATCTAAACAAATCTTTTGAAAATAAAAACATGATCTTGCAGAATTTTGTTTATGATTTTTCTTCTATTTTTGTTCTGTTAGGAATAATTTTAAATGAGATTGATAGTTGAATAATACTATTTATAGTTGTAACTTTTGTGATTTATAGAAAAAAATAGCATTTGATCATAAACAGTTTACTATTACGTAGACTATGTGTCTTAAGTATTTATAAACTTCCTGTATAGGATAACATTTCCTGATTATTTGCATTTATGCTACTTTTTATTTGATATTCTAAATATACTCAGTGAAAACTCAGCTTCATGCCTCCTCCTCCTCTTCCTCCTTATTCTCCTTCTCTTCCTTCTACTTCTCTTCCTCTTCCTCCTCCTCTTCTTCTTCCTCCTCCTCCTCCTCCTCTTCCTCTCCTCCTACTCCTCCTATCCGCCAAACCTCCACATTGATGGTGGAGTCAGTTGATCATGCTTTTGTTCTTATCCAGAGTGGAGGCATTCTGCCTTGTGGCTGCTGAGTTACTTGCTGTTGACTGCTAGCTCTCTTGTCTTGGAGAACAAGTGTAACAGTTTGTAAGTAGGGTTCTCTTCAAGACTAAATCATCCTCCTTTGACAGTTTCAGCAATGTTTGAAATTTCATTTTCTTATAATGGAAGGTGTAGCTTCTTGGGATGGGGGAGCACAGTCCTTTCTAGGTGTGATTTGCTGCTTTCTACTGCTCCCCCTCCCTGTGGAAGGAAACTACAGGCCCTGGTGTGTGGTTTCCAGGTGGGCTGGACTAGTCTTCTTTCCTTGTCACTGCAGGTTCCATCCGAGAAGAGAACGGGGTCCGGTGGCATGTCTGCCCCTACTGCACCAAGGAGTTCCGGAAGCCCAGCGACCTCGTGCGCCACATCCGCATCCACACCCATGAGAAGCCCTTCAAGTGTCCGCAGTGTTTCCGGGCCTTCGCTGTGAAGAGCACGCTGACTGCGCACATCAAAACCCACACCGGCATCAAGGCCTTCAAGTGCCAGCACTGCATGAAGAGCTTCTCCACCTCAGGGAGCCTCAAGGTGCACATCCGCCTGCACACAGGTGCGCCGTTTCTTGGGAGGACACCAGTGGGCAGCGTAAGGGGAGAGCCAGGCCTTGGTCCTCTAGGCTGTGTGAGTGTATGTGTGTGTGTGTGTGTGTGTGTGTGTCTGCGCGCATGTGCGTGTGCGTGTGTGTGTGCGTGCCTGTCTTTCTTTTCATTTGAGCCAGGGTCTCACATTGTAATGCAGACTAGTTTGGAACCTGTAGTTTTTCTGCCTCAACCATCTGAATTACACATGTATACCATACAGGCTTTGTATTCCCTCTGACTTACACATGTGTACCATACAGGCTTTATATTCCCTTCTGAATTACACATGTATACCATACAGGCTTTATATTCCCTTCTGAATTACACATGTATACCATACAGGCTTTATATTTCCTTCTTTCTCTCTACACACACTCACTTGGGATATCAGGGTTTGAATTCAGGGCCTTGTGCTGGCTAGTCAGGCATTACACCACTTGAACCATAGTCCCAGCTCATAAGCAGTGTTTATTAATTTGCCATGTTGGTCCACGTGGAGGAGCCATATTGGACAGGACATATTCATAACACTTCTAGGGGATAGCAGCCTGGGCTTTAGACTGAGTGAGCCTTTTGAAGGAGGAAACACATGCTGCATCATCCCGGGGGCTTGTGGTGTGGCAAGCCGAAGCAGCTGATTGGCCTGGCAGCCTGGGATAGAGCCCGTTGGACCAAGGCCTTGAACAGGGAGCAGACTTCCATGTCTTCCTTGCTCTCAGATCTTCTTTAGCCACTATTACAGCATGAAATTGGTCATATCTGGGCTCTACATCTTTTAAAGTAACAACTTTCTTGAGATGTAATTCACATGCAGTTTATGAAGTATATAGTTTATAATTGTGTGATCCACACAACTGTCTACTGGAAACATTTTATACCTTCAAAAAGTCTGTGTACTGGATTATAGTGAGTGTCCTTGCAGACCTCAGTACTGTCTTCTCAGTGTTTGTGTGTGTATGTGTGTGTATGCATGCATTGTTAGAAACCAGTTTTGTTACATGTCTGTCCTTTAAACCTATATTGTCATTTATGTTATGAATAAAGTTGTAAGAAGAGGAAATTCCCTTCGGGGAAGAGACAGTGATTGAGGACAATCATTTGCAGTCAGTGACAACTAGCACTGACTCATGCTCAGTGCTGGTTCTGCATCAGCATGTAACCCCTGTCGTGGCTAGTGAGGGCTTCGCATCCCAGGCTTATGGATGTCAGCTGAGCTGACAAGAGAGCTCTCTCTTGTCACATCACAGTTCTTAAGAACAACTAGTTGTTTGAATGTCCGTATTTTACAATGTATCACTTTGTTCTAAATCTAGGAAGTGTTCTCTGTTACTTACCATAACTTCTACATGTACTGTTCAAATCAAGGGAACATATAAACATAAACAGGGAGTAACGAATGAAATATTCAAATCTGTATTCGAAATACTATCAGTGTATGTTGGCATTTGCCATTGAGGTGTAAGTCCCTGAAATAATGATTTTATTTTATTAGGAGTCAGACCTTTTGCCTGTCCTCACTGTGACAAAAAGTTCCGAACCTCAGGACACAGGAAGACTCATGTTGCCTCCCACTTCAAACACACCGAGTTGAGGAAAATGAGGCACCAGCGCAAACCTACGAAGGTTCGCATTGGCAAGACAAATGTTCCCGTCCCCGACATTCCTCTGCAAGAACCAATTCTCATAACTGACTTGGGTAAGACAGAGTGCGGCATTGTCACCACTTGCTGGGTCTGCTGTCCTTCCATCCCTAATAGGAAAGTTGTGGATGCGTGTTGGTGTGGGCAGATAAAGATTTCCAGCATACTATTAGTGAAGGTTTCCTTAACACTTGTTTTATTTTTGGATTTCTGTGTTCCTCACTAAGGATTAAAAGCCTCAGGTACTACTACCTAGATTGTATTTCTGGTTAAAGGGGAAGTGTGTGAGGGGAAGTCCTCACTAAAGACATGCTTCTGAGCTAGCATTGTAAGAAACCTCTTTTTAGTCCATTTGCATTGCTGTAACAAGGAGAGCTTATGCTAGTAGCTCACGAATAGTAGCAGGTTATTTCTCTCAGATCTAGAGGCTAGTAAGTCCAAGGTGATTCAGTGACTGGGAGGCCCAGCTCCCATAGATGACACCAGGTAGTCCTCTGGGGCTCTGTAATAGGCTCGAATACTGCTTATGAGGGCTCCACTCAAGACCCAGTCATTTCCCCTAACCCTTGAGAGAAGGGGGACTGAGGGAGAGCCACGCCCAAGGGGGTGAGTCTGATCAAAGTAGGTTGTATGTATGTATGCACATATCAAAGTGGAACCCCCTGTACAACTAATTCATGCTAATATAAATGTGTGTGCATGTGCATGTGTATGTGTGTGTAAACATGTTAATTAAGTGGCTCATCTATGTCCACTAGTTAGTGAGCAAGTAAAAGGATAACAGTGATTAGGAGCCTGCCGATTGCTATGACGTTGGGATTTGATTTCAACAGAAGACTTTTGTGGGAACACAGGTGTGTAGACAAGCATTATTTAAATTCTGTGTGTAAATTTACATTTTTATATGTTGTCTATATTATATGATTTTCCTAGACAAGGTAATCTAGCCTAAGCAGAATTAATCTCAAAAAACAAAGATGTAGTTTAAATTGATATAAGGTAATGAGTGGTTAGAACCTTTATAGATATCTAAGACCATTACATCAAAAAATGAAAACCAAAACATTTATAAGAAAAGAAATTCAGCCGGGCGCTGGTGGCTCACGCCTGTAATCCTAGCTACTCAGGAGGCTGAGATCTGAGGATTGCGGTTCAAAGCCAGCCCGGGCAGGAGAGACCTTGAGACTCCTATCTCCAATAAACCACCAGAAAACCGGAAGTGGCGCTGTAGCTCAAGTGGTAGAGCGCTCGCCTTGAGTT